AGTTACATTACAATTTCGTAAGTTACAATGTAATTTACATGAAACGTAACAAAGTAATTTATGTAATACATCCCTAGATTTGGGAGAGATTTTGAGAGTTTATAGTTTGGGTGGCATGTATAGAATAAAGTAAAACTGAATGCAATATGTGTGCAGCTCTTAGTGGTTCAGTGATATAGATATAAATCTTGATGATGTTCATGGTAAGTTCAGATTGTCATCATTACGTCATTGACGTCATTATTGAGCAACATACTAACAATACTGTAATTATCCATCTATTACTATTAGGGAAGTTTGTCCAATAACGTAGGATCGCACATAGAATTTTCTATTAACCATAGATGTCGTACAAAAAATGCGCGGCGGATCCTCGATTTTGATTGGCTAATGGCTGAGGATCTTCATAATTTTGGCCCGCATTACATAATTGTTTACTAATTTCCGGCCGGACTTAATGGGCGGCTGCGATTTCAGTAGTAAAATCATCCGGCCTAATTTTTTGATCGTCGCTCTTAGCCAATCAATATCGAGGATTTTTTGTGCGGCACCTAGGTTCAATGTCATTTGGTCAGAACATACTTTCACCGGAAGGAATCTCAGGTCTAAATGTATACATATAACCAATTAGAATGACTAAATTTCTCAGAAAGGAGGGTGGTGAGTTTTATAGTAAACTGATGACATAACTCTTTTTAATTATCAAATCAAAAAATTCCTCCTCTATACAAAGAACAAGTGTTACTGAATTAAACTCAAGTTTCATGACTGTAATTTGTGTTATTGATCAAATTTTAGATTTATAATGAAAGAGTCGCGGAGTATTGGCTTCCGATAACATGTTTTTAGTAGCTAATTTTTGAAGTATTGTTGTGGCAGTATAAGATTATGTAAAACTTTAATCAATGCTAATCACATTGCATCTGTAAATAAATAAGTAAAAGTTGTGGAGTTACTGTATTGGCCTTTTACTTAAGGTTCTTAAGTAGTCAGTGTAAAAAGCAAGATGTGGTTGTACTGTATAAAGACATGTGAAACTTGCTTTGTAATTATTTGGTCTTTGTTAACATATTTTTAATAATTAGCTGCTAGCTTTTTTTTCATTAAGGCTGTTCAAATAATTATATGTGAAACTCGCATTAAATGTCTATTTAATTGTTCCCGTAAGTAAATAAAATAAAATAAAATAAAATTATAAAACTATTTGCCTTTGCTAACATATATATATTTAATAACCGTTATATTTAAAATAAATGTTCTGTTTTTATTGGTTGAATTGCCGGTCCAAGGTCACAATTTTTTGGAATTAACGCTTATCTAGAAAGTGCAATATTGTTCCCTCTAAAGCGTAGTTCAGAGCGGGTTCAAACTTTTATTTGAAATTTTATATCGAAAAAAAAAAAACATGTTGGAGAAAAAGTAGCAATTACAAAAAATACAGTCTAATGGGTAGTAACTAAAAAAACTTCCATTAAAAAATTTCTGAGATCATATTAATTGTCTAAAATTAAGCAATTAGAATTATACAAATTTAAATGTTTGAATAATCTTTTAATTCATTTAATGAGTCCAACATTTAATTGAACTAAAATTAATAAATGTTATTGACATTGCATTTTTTTTCATGATTAAGTAATAATCAATTTAAGCAATATTTTTTATTCTGATAAAACCAAGTGATATAAAGTAAGGCCTCGGTTCATTGGAATTGATTTTATTTCTCGCATAAATTGGATTTTTTTTTCATTATAAAACTGAAACTCAAAATATCTTATCGTTATTATTATTAATAAAAATTAGCATTGACGATCTAATAATAATAACAAATTAGACAAAGAAAATTTTCCATCTTTCAAAACTCCTCTAGTTGCCGTGTCTTTAATCTTTGTCTTCATTCTGGCCGGTGGCAAGTTACCACATTGAGCAATAGTTAGAGCAATAACCCCAGCAACATGAGGAGAGGCCATACTGGTTCCGGACAGACTTCTAGTTCCGTTATTAAGCCAGACAGAAGTAACATTTTGACCTTTATATTTATGTTAGGTATTTTGTTACAAGGTGAATAAATTAACGAGAAAATCAAAGGTTCATATATTATCGCGTAATACTATCATAATTTACCGGGAGCGAAGATGTCAACACATGCACCAACGTTTGAAAATCTAGATATTGTATCATCAATGCTTGAAGATCCTGTGGTAATCGCCTCAGGGGTTGAGGAGGGTGAGAAAAAACAAGAATTTGCGCCATAGTAATTCCCAGCTGCAACAGTTACGTGAACGCCAATATCGGTTAATGCCTTGACTGCTGCGTTGGCTGGTGGAAAATGTTTACCAGTCAAAGAGAGGCTGAATGGGTATAAATTAGAGAATTAATAAGCTAAATAAAATTTCAATTTAAAAGGGAAAATTTGAGGTTTATATATCTACTTGACAATTGAATGCTTCCTTTTACTGTATTTATGCTGTTGAGCTACCCAGCTCATTCCAGCAATCACATCACTCCATGATCCGGTCCCTGTTTTCCCTAAAGCTTTGATTGCGATAACGCTCGTGGCTTTTGCCACCCCATATTTTTTCCCTAGGTAAAGAGGATGATAATGTATAGTTGTTTACGTAAAATCTCAAAAATCGATATTACACGTAGCTATTTTACCTGCGATCTAGAAAAGAAAAACTTAGCAATAAAGAATAACTTTAAAAGATAAAATAAACCAATCAATACCTACAATTCCTGCAACATGAGTTCCGTGGCTTTAAAGACCAAATACAGTGCATTGACAATTAGTATACAAACTTTATTTTTTAAAGTCTTCATTTGATAACCTTTTAAATATACCCATATTCGTCAATGTTTGGTGTTCCTTTAATAATAGATATGCCCCAAGAAGCTCGACCTTGAAAATCTGTGTGGTTTATATCTATTCCACTGCGTAAATTTTTTTGTTTTATAAAAATGGAAATAAAAATAAATAAATAAAAATTTGCGTGGCATAAGTTATGATTGATCTTAACGTATAATGTGCAAAGAATAACTCCGTACGTATCGATTACATAAACATTCACTCTTCGACCTCCAGTAGCAGGTGAGATATATAAACCATCAAGAGGCAGAAAACGTTGGTCGAGACGATCGAGATTCTGAATGCATGGATAGATAGTGGAAAGTTATAAATAAAATACGTATGAATAAGAATTTATAACTTAACCTACCCATGTAGGATTTGTCTGAACTCTCATCCCAAATAATGGGTTTTTGATTTTTATTTCCTTATTATCATCCCCTAATGCTAAATACTCCTCGATTATATCATCTTCGCTAAGACCAACAAAATCACGTGTAACCCAAACCTCGGAATCTCGTGCAACATAATCAATTTCTTCTCGTTGTTTTAGAATATTTTCCACAAATTGTGGCTCAAATATAGCAGAATAAGCTCGAAAATTATCGCCAATGGAGTATTCGTGAATAATAAAATCATTGCGACTGTTATTAGCACTAGGCGAGGGACCATTCTCGTCAAGAGATGTCACGACGGCTTCCTGGGAATGGAAGTCTGAAACCCAAGAAATATGATCTTGGTATATAGAATCGGTAGTCTTAGTAGTAGCAACTGTTGGTTCAGTATCATTATTTTGAAGGCTTTTAATGACCACTATGTAATGTTGTTTTTTTTCATCAGATGATTTGCTGATAGGGATAGGCATAGATTCGATGACCGTTATTAGCGAAATTAAGATGGAAAAAAGAATAACATATTTAATAAGCATGATCGTTTATCGGTACACAATTTTTATGAAACAAATATGATTAAAAAAAAGTGAAAATTTTACACTTCGAGAAGAAAAAACTATAGTGCTTAAATAATAGTTTTGAAGGCGAAAAGTGACTCATCAATATAATAGACTTATCGATGACGCGTTTAGAGAAACCAACTGATTTCTTTGACTTCAAAAAGTATGTGAATAGATCTGATTAGCAACATCGTAGATAGAGTCATAATTCTTTGGCTCGATGATTGATCCTTACATTATTCTGTTATTTTTCCTAACATATAGCATTATTCCTAATAATTCCTAATACGTAAACACTTCTTAGCGCCGATTGTGTCGGTGATTGGTGAATTTTCTGCATAATAATAACAATCATAAAAGGTAACCTACGTCATAACTGCATAAATGCTTATATACACAGCAAATACATACTTGTGTGTACATATTTTTCTTTCATTTCTTCGCGTTGATTGAGATTTTATATACTTCTTTATATCAAAAGGTTTGCTTTTTGATTATTAGTTCATCAATTTATTTGTAACGTTATTATTACATTGCATCTGAATATTTGAATATTTCTAGGTACGACTGGAAGTCACACGGTAACGTTAATGTGAATAAATATTTATTTGTTACAAAAAAAAAAAATCATCAAAATATTCATTGAAGTATATTGAAGTATTCTACATTGTAAATATATTTTTATTAGTCCAATTGTTTAGAATCGGGATCATGTCACCTCAACTACCAGCGGATTGTCTCAAAGAAATATTTGAATTATTGAATGATGATATCCGATCCTTACATTCATCCATAAATGTGAGTAAGTTATGGTGCAAGATTGGTATCCAGATATTATGGAGACATCCATGGAAATTTACAGGCACATTGAATTCTAAATTCTTTTGGCCTGCTATCGTAAAAACGTTACTATCCTGCATGAAAGACGAATCATTAATGATCTTAAAACAAATGGGCATTGATATTTCTATATCAAATAATAAGTCACCAATGTTTAATTACGCCGGATATTGTAAGTATTTGTCACCTTGGGAAATCAATAGAATGGTAATGGTGATACAAGGACGTGGTTGGTGGTTTGAGAGTAATGATATGAGTCCCGTAGAAATTGTAATAGAACAAGAGCTTTACAAGCTATTTATGTCTCGATGCTCAACGCTGAAACATCTCATAATTCCAAAAGCTCGAATCTTGACTTATCCTGGTGCTACCATGTGCCTCTCTCAACTTTCCGCTTTGGAATGCAGCACGAGCATTCCATCAACTTTTTTTAAAGAAATGGCACAGTACTGCCATAACCTTCAAAGGTTAATTGTTGAGCCTTGTGATGAAGACGTTGAGGGACTGGCGGTGCTCATCACTAAACAGACCGGTTTAAGAGAAGTTGAATTGGTTCCTACAAAACCGAAACAAATCAAAACTATGGAATGTCATCAAATTGGAAAAGCGTTGGTAACGCAAGCAACTTCTCTGAAATCATTATACATACAAAATTATCTTTGTTTTGCACCAGAATTACTTGCGTCTTTCGTAAACCTAGTAACTCTAAGAGTTAATATTTGTGTAAGATTTCACGAAGGATTATCATCTTCAATGTCGTTTCCACAACTAGAAACCCTTGAAATATTTGAAGACAAATCAACACCATTCGATTATTACACAAAAGTGATCGAGAGCACCGGTGGAAATCTTGAAAAGATATACTTTAACAACGTATCCCATGCAGATGATCAAGAATTACGGAATTATATACATGCAATTACATTTTGCTGTCAAAATATTAGATTGGTTACAATTGTCCTAAGCAACAAAATAGAAATAGATGAGTTAGAACAATTACTTGAATCATGCCAAAAAATTGAAGTTTTAAAGCTACAGGCTCGATCACTAAAAATTATTGATGGAGAACGTATACTTCAATTATTGGCGGTGAAAGCGCCGCGGAGTTTAACAACTTTGAACTTTGATTCAGAGAGACCATATGGATGTTGGCTGTTTTCGTACAAGGCTTTGGATGAGTTTTTGAATACTTGGAAAGTCCGTAACATGAAACCGTTGTCAATATATTTTGAAATAGCATGTTATGAACCAGGATTTAACGCAAAACATTATAAGATTATTAAGAAATATCTCAACGAAGGAGTATTAAAAGAATTTTATGAGATTAATAATTTATGTGATCCTTATAAAAAATGGCAATGCTTAGGACCATGGGGATGATTAATATGACATGTAAAAGGCCTTCCATATTCTTCATTTAGCAATTGTCAACTGTATGATACAGCAATTTTGTGTTTTCATATAAGGAATTTATGCATTAACACCGAACGAGAGATAATCTTTTTGTGTTATATGATGCGTAAACATTTGAAAACATATTTATTATTAGAGTAAAAAATGATTGTATATCTATATTATGCTATCATGATTGTCACTGTTGCCATAGTTTAAGTTTATATCAATAAATAACTTCCCAAATTAACATTTTTGGTATTGGAGTCTAGATGAAACTGGCAGATAGTGGTTTAACTGATGGAAATAACTATAAGAACAAACTAGATTTTAGCACATAATAAAACTTGATAATTAAGTTTCATCTGCGACTCTATGTATTAACATTTCATAGCTCTTTTTTTTTTTTTCTTGTTTATAGCCTAAATTACCTTTGTACAAATAATATTTCTTTTTTTAAGCTTTTCTTTTTGAAAAATCATACGTACTGGGACTGTTAATGAAGTACATACTTCAGGGGTTACCTAGAAGTATAAAATATACCATGCTGGTGCGAGTTATATACAGCACTTCGGATTGATACAGAAGTCAAATAGAGTTATTTATGTTTCGAAGTTACTAATATTACTTAGATTAACAATATATACCGTAGTTGTGCGTGAAATTTGAATTTGAAATTGGATTGCGCTAGACCAAGAACAATTTATCTATTAATGCGTCATATTAAAATCGATATCTAATTTGTGCTATCGTTGCAGAGGTCAACTTTGCTGTATAAGTCTCTACAATTCTTTGTAATACTTGATGTCCTGTTATTTTTTGTTCGTTAAATTTTGCAATGGTTGTGAGGTACATAAAGAAGAATGTGAAGAAGAATCAATCTAAATAAATATAAAAAATTAAATACATTATATATGACGATAAATTATATTATAATGAAGTTACTAAAATAGCTACCGAATTTTGCGTGTAATAAATGAATACTCCATAATATTAGTTCGATAAGAAATTTTAAGCGAACCAATTTTTATTATTTATTATGCGTATTTCAGTAATATAAATTTTAAATGTTTAGTTTTAAAGAGTTATTATACAGTATCTCAATTCTGATCATTAATAAATTTTACAAATATTCTAGAACTTTTTGACAAAGTTTATTAAGGATTTAGATTATTTAGCTTCGTATTAGAGAAAAATGAATAACAATTTCAAATTTTAGGCAGTTAAAGCTAATTTGACCAATTTAGATTTATGCCAATAGCAAAATAATTGTATGGGTTAAACTGAAACTTTTGTTTAAATATCGAAAAATATTTATCCCAATATAACATTATTTGTTTAGATGACAAATATTATACCAATCGCAAGATCAATAACAATGTCTTTTTATTTTTTTATTTTTTATTTTTTTAGCAATGTTAATACAGTATGAGTAATTTAGCAACAAAAGAAAAATATATTTCTCGAAGCTATCTAAAATTATTAAATTTGCAAATACTTGAAAGAAATTTATTGAATTAGAATGAATAATGAAATTAGGAAACCTTCTATAATAATATATAATATAGCATAGAATATCTTTGCTCATTATACAATGATTATATACAAAATATTTTACAGAATTTTCGGTAGGTAAATTAAGGTTACCATTTACCATACTTTAATTCCAATCTTTTTTTTTCTTCAGGCGGTATCCTAAGTAATGTTGTTAAAACTGGCAGCAGAGCTTTCTATAATTTCATTTAAGGCAAAAATGAATGCATTGTTAATAATTGAGCTATCTTCAAAATAAATATAAATAAAATAACATACCCTCTGCTCTTTATGTTCCAAAAATTTAAGTATAACACCTCGCAGATAATCAACCTTAACGTCATCATCCAATCCTGTACTAAGGATTGTAGGAGAATTGGTTGGCACTGAATTTTTTAATGATGTAGGGGATGGAGGTTGTAAAGGAGATGTTGGTACACCACGATCTGATGATTTCTGAAGTTTACGCACTTCTTCCTTGAGTGACTGAATAATTAGAAATTGCAAGTAATTAAATACCACAAACATAACCGATAAAAACGATAAACAGATATCTAATTTTACCCTATTATTGTTTCTTAGTTGACCTTCTCGCATACGAGCTTCCTCAAGTAGTTTTTCATACTCTTCTTTGCTTCTTTGAAGGTTATGTTCCAACTCCCGATACTTTACCTAAAATTTTCATATACAATGATATGTAATCAATGTTGTGACTTCCAAAATAATAACAATACGACAGGGTGAAACCCGCGCTGCCAGTTGGTAAAATCCACGCAGCGCGGATTTCACCCTGTCAAAATAAAAGCTGCACCAAAACTTTGAACGAAGATATCTCGATAACCACCTAACTAAATTCGATGTTTTTTTT